CGGTGTTAGTCTGGTCTAGCTGAAAGAAAAGGACTATGCAGCACTTTAAAGACTAACAAGATGGTTTATTAGGTGATGAGCTTTCGTGGACCAGACCCACTTCCTCAGATCAATTTGTGGAAGAAAATTTGCCTGATCATATATACCAAAGTGATACAATCAAAAAAAGTGAACACATGTAAAATTGACAAATCAGATTTTAGAACAGAGGGGGGATGAGGGGAGAAGGTTAGTGTCTGTGAGGTAATGATATTGGGGGTGATAATTGGGGAAGCTATCTTTGTAATGGGTGAGATAATTAGCATCTTTGTTAAGGCCCATACATAAAGTGTCAAATTTAAGCATGAATGACAGTTCTGAGGCTTCTCTTTGAAGTCTGGAGTAAAAATCTCTTTGAACCAATAAACAGGTTTTAAGGTCATTGAGAGAATGGTCAGTCTGGTTAAAATGGCAAGAAACTGTTTTCTCTCTGTGAAAGAGCCTGATGTATGTTTTATGTGCATTGATTCTTTGGCGACGTGTCTGAGAAGTTTGTCCAATATACAAAGCAGATGGAAGCTTTAGGCACAAGATGGCATAAATTATATTTCTGGATGAACAGGAATATGTGTTCTTGATCTTGTAACTGGCGTGGTTAGGTCCAATAATGGTGTAAGCAGAATAAATATGTGGACAAAGCTGGCACCGGGGTTTGTGGCAAGGGAAAGTTCCAGGGTTGGTATTAGTGTGGTATGTCCTGTGGTTCTTGGTAAGAATCATCCTGAGGTTTGGTGGTTGTCTGTAGGAGACTATGGGGCTGTCTCCCAGAGCCTCTCAGAGGGTTGTATCCTGTTTCAGTATAGGTTGTAGTTTATTGATAACGCATTGGACGGGTTTAAGTTGGGGGCTATAGGTGATGACAAGTGGTTTTCTATTGTTGGTTTTCTTGGGTCTGTCTTGAAGTAGATGGTTTCTGGGTATTCATCTGGCTCTTTCAATTTGTTTTTTTATTTCTCCGGATGGGTAATTGAATTTTATAAATGCTTGGTAGAGATCCTGAAGTTTCTGGTCTCTGTCAGTGGGATTAGAGCAGAATTGATTCTATATCAGGGCTTGGCTATAGATGATGGATCGTATGATGTGTCCTGGATGGGAGCTGGAGGCATGTAGGTAACTGTGTGAGTCAGTGGGTTTTCTGTAGAGAGTGGTGTCTAATTTACCATTGGTGATTTGTACTGTGGTGTCCAGGAAATGGATCTCTTGTGCAGAATGGTCCAGCTGAGATTGATGGTGGCGTGTAGGTTGTTAAAGTCTCTGTGGAATGTCTCCAGTGTTTCCTGGCTATGGGTCCAGATCATAAAGATGTCATCGATGTAGCGTAAGTAGAGAAGAGGTAAAAGGGGACGGGATCTGAGGAAACGTTGTTCTAAGACAGCCTTAAAGATGTTACCGTACTGTGGGGCCAATTTACACAGGAGCCTTTGGTGAGAGACCTTATCAAAGGCTTTCTGGAAATCTAAGTATACTATATCTACTGGATCCCCCTTGTCCACATGTTTGTTAACCCCTTCAAAGAACTCTATTAGAGTACTTACTTCATAAACTACTTAATTAATGGCTAATTATAACATTATCTATTTCTGTTCATTACTTATTTCCTACAAATTCATCTGGGTTTTAATTTTAAGGCAATAATAACTTAGGTTTTGTTTTACTGTGGTGAACGGCAAGGCTGAAATGAAAACTGAGCTCTGGTCTATTCTGAAAAGTTTATACAGGTATAGCTATGCAGTTTAATGGTATGATTTGTTTTCCTCAACATAATTATACTTGTGAAAGTCCTATTGCCAAGGTAGTTATATTGGTATAACAGTGCTTTATACCAGTATAGTTTATGCTGGTTTCTAAAATGGCATACATTTTACTGGTGTAAGTACTTTCATACTGATATAAAATGTGTCGACAATAATATAGTGTTGTCTTTAGATAAAACAGCAAAATTTGCCAGGGTAGACTTTTCCTTAATTACCCTCAGGCAGGGACATTCAGTACATGTTCTTATGCTGTGGGAGACATTGAATAAAGAAATAAGTTTCCTTACCTTTAAAAATTCTTGTACTCACTTTGTGAAATTTTCTGTTATGTTCTGTTTAGCTACAGGCATTCTAGAAAGTGTCATCTTATGATTTCATTATTGCAGCCAGAATTACCTAGAGAGGGAAGAGAATTATATAAAGGCGATTTCTTTTCTCCTGTTTGCTCACCACAGATTGTGTTATAGAGACTTCCCTGCATAGGGGATCTAGATCTGGATTACACAATGGGCCCAGTGCTCTGGCCCACAGCCAGCAAGCGCTTACACATCCATTTACCTCCCAACACAAGAGTAGTCCCATTGTGAAGCATGTGCTTTGCTAAATCAGGACCAACGTGCTCAGTCCCTTGCAGGATTAAGAACCTAGGACATATCCTACCAGTTGAAGCACAGAGTTATGTCTTCTATTCCCATCTCTGCCAATGACTTGCTGTGTGGCTTTGGGAAAGTCTCTTGGGTCAAATTTTTCCAAATACTATGGGGTGCTTAGTTACTGGACTCGATTCTGTTTACTTTTACAATAAGAAAGAATAATTCTCTTCATTGATAGTGAAGTTCAGTGGCTTGTGTTGTGGAGGTCAGCCTAGATCCGTGGTCCACAACACGGTGCCCGTGGGCGCCATGGCGCCCACGGGGGCATTTCCATGTGCCCGCCAGGTGCTCGGGGCTGGCCTGGCACCGGGCGCAGGGCGGGGGGGAGCGCCGGCTCCGGGCGCGCGGCGCAGGG